GCGCATCGATGCACCAGTGCAGGCGCCATCTCAGAGCCATTTCAGCTCCTCTTACAATTTAGAGCAGCCTGAGGGCCGCTCTGATTTGTATTTGTCTGTCCCCAAAGACATGCCCTTTCCCCAGTGTCACACCCAACTACCTCTCCTTCATGGAGAGCATTCGAGGGGGCAGTTTTAAACCAGCAGAAGAGTCTGGGACAAGTCCACTTCAACCAACTTGAAATCTTCTTTCCACAACTGGAGTGGTAAAATGCCAATTTAATACAGCTACACCCCTCTCCTAGACTTAAGAATAAAATAACCATAAAAGAGAATGCATTGGACAGCGCTTCACTCGCTCCTGTGGCTATGTACTATGCCTTTTCAATTGCCCTCTAAAACAAAGAGTGGCTAGATGACAATCATGCAGACTTCTCATGTCTAACCTTGTTTAATCATGATGCAGAGCATCCTACTTGATATTCTGGGTCAACCTGTTTTGTTCAGTTGCTTTATATGCTTCTGAAATCCTTAACCTGTGCCCAGTGCTTGGCATTAGCCAAAACAGTGCTGAAATGGCAGGTTTCACATGAAAACATGCCAAAAATAAAATTTCATGCACCCTCTACAAAGGGACCTTTGCTCAGAAATGCACACATTTCCATGTCAAATGGAGGAACTATATTATTTCAATCTTGATTTCCACCCCCCAGACCTTAGCATCATTTCTCACTAGAAAATAGTCCTATTCTTTGTTGAAAATTGGTCCATTTCCCCAGCAAATTGGTGTGTTTTCCTATGAAAAAAGAGGAAGCTTTTGTGGAAATGGTCTAATTTCGGGGTTCATAATGAAAAGATTTCACACATGCATCCAGATGAAGCGTTTGCATTTCATTTTGCACAGTTAGTGTGCCCCTTTGTGTCACTAAGTGCTTTTGATTTCCTCTGAAAGCGGTGTTAATGCAAAATTCCCATTAGAGAGGGTAAATATAAAATGCCTGACTTGGGACTCACCTGTATGAGTTTCATTCTGATATAATTATGTCAACTCTAACAATATGCACTGCCATGAGTCATATTAGAGCCATGCCCAGGGACTTGGGTAGCTCAGAAGAGGTCTCGTGGAGTTTAAGGCTGTATTTGGGCTGTGCCATTTAAAGAATCATATCCAACACGCATGCTTAGAGCAAAGCGGTAGAGGGTCATGTTAGTCCCAGCCTTGCACAGGGATGCAAAAGGGAGAGCGATACTAACAGCGTAACCCCTTCCTCTCCCCTGAGTTTTCTTTATCGGTGGAACAAAGGAACAAAAGTCCCAGTAAAAACCAATAGATATTGTGCTTCCTTTATAAGCTCTTGGAAATGTTTTCCCTTTTGTCCCACTGTCTTTTCTATTGCCAGCTGCTTCCAGAGGTAGTAAGGATGCACCAGCCTCCAATGCAGATTGTTGCATTTTGGTGTCCTCCAAGTGGTTTTAATGTTCTCCTAAATCAGAGATTGGATCCTATGGACATTTGATAAATGCCCTCACTTTCCTGTCCCTCTCTTCTCTTCCACCATTCGTGTTTGATTTCTAGGCAGCAATCTCCATGATGGGCTGTGGCATTCAGTTAACATCAACGCCAGACGAAATCGCATTACCCTGATGCTGGATAACGATGTTGCTTCTGCGGCCCATGCAACCACGACCTCTCCGATCTTTTCTGGGGACAGCTACTACTTTGGAGGTAGGTGGCTTCAAACTGAAACAATATGGGTTTTTATGATCCAACCTGCTGTGGACTGAACTTTGAAAACATGATTTACCCCTACTTGAAGGAGTCCATTGAGGGGACTGCTGGCAAGTCGATATGGTATGCAACAGCACTGATACTTTGAACTAGCTCTACCTTCAGACCCAGGAGCAGTATAGTGGCATTTGCATTGCACTGGCCAGGGCAGCATACACACCATTATAGTCTTGAATTGCTTGTTATAGCAAAGAGTTATATTAAAATGCATAAACAGGCTTGGAAAAATGAGACCAAAATCCCAGGTGCCCTCTCCCTGTATCACTGAGCCACAAAGTCATGCTCAAGTTTACTTGCCCTCATGCCTTGTACGCGTGTGTGCACGCACAGCAGTGCAGTCCCAAAGGAAGGTGTGGAGCATGCCCCCACACCCAGTTTATAGCAGCTGATTGGGGCACTCTACTGGGAAGTGGGATATAAACCCTCAGGCTGAGGAAGGTGTAGACCCAACATCTCCCATTTCGTGGAAGATTGCTTTACAGAAAGTGAGAATCACGTTCATCATTGCCAGTCAGAGCTTATGTGAATAAGGTAGGGTGAAACAGCCAGTAGGAAAAAAACCCAAAACAAAACATAAGAGCCTTTCTGGGGACTTAGGTGTATATCTGTTTGAATCCCTCTGAGCTTGTGCCTCCAGGACTTGATCATCCAAAATGGAAGTGACAAATACATGTATGCACTTACGAGCTTTGGAGTTTCTGATGTAAGGCTCATTTAAACCTCATTAAGGACTGAATTGTACCCTAAGTCAACACTAAGGCTCCTAAATTCCTTAATCATGTTTTGGAAGTATTCATAGAAATCATAGAAAATTCAGGTTGGAAGGGATCTCAGGAGGTCACACCTAGTCCAACCCCCTGCTCCAAGTAGGACCAGCCCCAACTACATCATCCCAGACGAGGCTTTGTCTACCTGGGTCTTCAAAATCTCCAAGGATGGAGACTCCACCACTTCTCTGGGGAGTCTGTTGCAGTCATCTGCCCCCATTGAGACCAGCTCAGCTCCATCCTCTTTGCAGCCCCTCAGCAGGGAGATGAAGGCTGCATCCAACCCCCCTCAGTTTTCTCTTCTGCAGACTGAATAAGCCCAGTGCCCTCAGCCTCTCCTCGTAAGTCATGTACCCCAGGCCCAAACCATGTTTATTACCCTTTGTTGGACTCTCTCCAACTTGTCCACATCCTTCCTGTATTGCCTGATGTCTTTTTGTATTGTAAGCTGTTTGGAAGAGGGACTACTAACTACTGTGCCTCCATAACTTTTGTTTCCTGACATGTTTTAATTCTCCAGTCAAAACAGTAATACAGTAGTTACCCATCTAGACTGTCCAAAACCAGGTGAAACAAGAAGAGACTAATATTTTCCTTCCAAGTGGCCATGAGATTACATCCACATGCCTATGGGTGTAGACCCAGCAGGATTTTAGCCATTCTGATTTACAATTTGCACAGCTTTTAGTCTGGACAAAACAGCTCCTGCCTGTTGATTTTAAAGAAGATGAAAGTAATTTTACTTTGCTTATCGCACCCAAAGTCCTTGCACCCGATTTGCTTCATGGTTTCTCTCCCTTTCGTGATTACTGTGGGATTTATAACACACGGGCTCAAGCAGTAAAAGGAATGAAAACACTAGGAATAATTAGGCCTCAATGTCTTCCTTCAGGAAGTCCCAACAGAAACAAATGATCATCTCAATATTATTCCTCATCTCTCTCTTTTTTTTTTTTCCCCCTCTCTCCTTTATCCCACAGGGTGCACTGACAATTTCACTGATTCCCAATGTTTAAATCCCATTACTGCGTTTCAAGGCTGCATGAGACTCATCTTTATTGATAACCAGCCCAAGGACCTCATTTTGGTTCAGCAAGGTTCCCTGGGGAATTTCAGTGATTTACACATTGATCTGTGTGGCATCAAAGACAGGTAATTGTTGTCTCGCTTTTCTTGTGTTTGTGGGTTGTTTTTTTTTCCTGCTGTAGCAGTTTGTAAATACAGGTTGTATTAAGTGAAAATGTTAATCTCCCAACATTATAGATATTAAGCATAATGGAGCTACTAATAGAAAATATTACAGCAAAAATACAGGGACTGGAGGGGAAATAGTTTAAATTACATGAGGCTCTCTTCACATTGACTCGCAGGAAATAGAGTATGCAAATTCAATCAAACTGCAGATTGGTGAAAGGATTAAATTTTATGCATAAACAACAGTTGATTGCTTTGGAGCATAAAAGGAAAGAGAAGGAGAAGGAGAAATTATTTGATTCATCAAAACATGTCATCTCCTTAATACACTCTGTGTTTTGTTTTAATAGATCGTTTACAGTTTTGTGTTAGCCTGTACATCACAACACATTTATAAGAGAGATGAGGTACATAGCACCAGTGTATTGCTAATGCTGTAAGACAAAATAATGATAAAATGTCTACATCTGCCAAAGATGGACCTGGACTGAAATGCTGATATGAATCCTTTGTAAGGTGGGATGGGAAATAAGGGTGAATATATATTTAAATAAATAATTAAATTATATATATATAGTTCCTTTAGTGTTTTTTAATGTTTCTAAATGTTGCAAATACTAAACCTGCTCATCAAACTGTTACCATGCTATTAAGCAACATTAGGTGTTTATACATGTGCTCTGAGGTGGGAGGGGGGTGCTTTAATTTGTGCGGCTCTGATAGGCACTCTAATTAAAGTGCCCACCGCGTCATGTGTATTCAGCATCCTGCACTTCAAATGGCAGTGGGGGCACTTTAACTAAAGCTTATTTGACAAACTTCAGTTAAAGCACCCCCACTGCCATTTTGAAGCACAGGGGTGCTGAAGAGACATGACGCAGAGACTGCTGGAGCATGCTAATTATCGTGCTTTAGCAGACTCGATTAATCAAATTTGCTCCAATGCATGCTAATTAGGTGCCTAGGTGTCTAGGTGCCATTATTTGGCAACTTGTGCAGTGCCAAAGAGTGATTACCAGCTGAGTGTCTAGATGCCCATTATGGCAACGTGTGGGGTGCCAAATAGTGGTTACCAGCTGCAGCATATGACTTTCACAGATACTATAGGGCTACAAAAGTTGGTAGGAAACAAGTGGTTGAGAGAAAATAAAATAATGAAAAGCAAGAATGCTTCTAAAGAAAAAGTTTCATTTTAAGCTAAGGTGCTAAAAGGAAGGATGTGGAGTTTACAACAACAGATTCTCCATATTGAAATGGATCCTTTAATGAAAGGTTGCTTACGAGAGAAGTAGAGCAGAACTTTGATACCTTGGATAGTTGCTTAGTGTCCAAGGACACAGCTGTACCTGTGGTAAGGCTGTTCTTGGTGCTTTGGTTGTCTGATGGCTATGCCAAAGAATTATTCATGCAGGTTGAATAGGTTAGACCAGGCCTGTAGCATGCATGGATGCTGTAAGTGGCATGGGCAGCCTCTGTGTGTGGCATGTGGCAGCCTGGCAAGGCTACAGGCAGCACAGTGGCAGATGGGGCAGGGAGCAAAGGCCCGCCAGCAGAAAGCAGAGCAATCGATCAGGCAGGAAAGCAAAAGGCAGAGAGCAGAAAGTGGAATAGCGGATTGGACAGAGGAAGGGGATCAGGGTGGCATTCAGGGTGGTGTGTGACTAAATGAGGCACGCTTGCCAAGAAGGCTGGAGATGCATGTATAAGATGGTTTAGATAGGGGTGATCCTCTCTAGAGCAGGCTGATGGACTAGATGACCTCCTGAGGTCCCTCCTAGCCCTACTTTGCTATGATTTTGTGCCCTCAACCCATGTTTATCAGCTGCTTTTCTTTCTAACATTGACCATCCTATTCTGAATTCCTTCATTTCTCTCTCTCTTCTGTCCTCCTCCACTTGTCCTCCCCCCTTTTTTTTTCTTCTTCCACTTCCTTCTAAAATATTACTTTACTAGTGGTTTTTCATCGCCCATTCTTAGCAGATAACCTCTTTACCTCCATCCTCTGTCTTTGATTCTAAAATAATACATTTTTTATTTCTTACTTGGGCCTGCCTTCATGATATCACAGTATTGGTCAGCAAACTTGCAAAATTCATTTGTGGCATCAGTATAGAAAAAAAACTGTCTTCTTCCCAAGATTTTTTTTTTTGCTTTCTTTCAGCTTTTGCTGCCACGTAGCCATGCTGATTTTACCTTGTTGCTGAGCAGTTTAATTTTCATTCCAAAGCTGCTTTGACCTCCAAATGTTGTTCCGTTGCATAAACAATTTCCCTTGCCTTTTATATATGGTTCTGCGTATCTTCATCTGCTCCTTCTGTTTTACTGATTTTTTTTATTTTTTTTTATTTAATTTATTTTTATTTTTTTGGTCCCAGGTACACAAATTTGTCTACTGCTAATGGGCAGTGTTTACAAGTGATTGGTTCTGCTGAGCCTGTGTTAATTCTCATTGTTTGCATTTTCTTGGCATTGATTACTTGTTGTATACACTCTGCAGTCATACTCAGACTATTTCTGTTGCGTGTGTGCTTTGCTGTGGGTGAAATGGCAGATACTATCAGCAAAAGCTAATTCTTCTAAATCAGCCACTGCAGTCCTTTTCAGGCCTGTGCTTTGCTTCCCTTTAACAGTTTTTCTTATTATTTACTTTATTGCAAGGCTTCCTTGCTTGATGTCTGCTAAAACTTTGAAGAAAAGTGATAATTTTCCATCAGCTGTTACACTATAACTGAATCCACGATGCATAGTCCTAATAATGTCCATTGGTTTATCAGAATTTTTGTAGCTCCACAGTATTTTCTTAAGTGCTTCCCGGATACAGAATCAATGGTCGTTTAAAAGTCTATGAAGATGAGGAATGACATGGAGTCCTTTGTCCTGTTCTGTTTCTAAATGTACAAATTTGATCAGTGCATCCTTTTCCATCTGAATGTTGCAAGCTGTTTTCAATGCCACCATTGTCATTGAGACACAGTCGCAATGATAAACTGGTCTTAATCACACCAGCAGTTTCTGTTCATCTTCAGTGCCCAAAAAATGGCAAAGATCAATCTGCTATCATGCCATAAAAAACAATTGAAAAAGCAAAGATGCAAACATGGTCAGAAAGTGTGCAGCTTTTTTGTTTTTGTGTTTTGTTGCTAACATTGCCTTTGACATACCACAAACTCAGCAGTTTCAAAAGAAAGGATCGATGAGCTTTTTCTTGGTGTACTTAAATTTGTGGACCATTACCAGATGCTACAGGTGAAAGATTAAAAGATGAAAAGGAGGAGGAAAAGAATGATAATTGATCATTAATTCATGATGACTGGTAACACATGAGAGATGCCCCCTTAATGACTACCACCGTCTACAGAGAAAAGAAAAAAACAACCTTATTTAAGGATATTTAATACTAACGATTAGAACAGGAAAGACAATTAGATAAATGGCATCCAGATTGTTGAAGACACTTTCCAAGATCATAGCAAATGTTATTTGAGGTGTTCTTTGCCATTGACATAGACAATGGAAAATCAGGAGAAAAATTTAGGTGGGGTTATTTTATTTTTCTAAATTATGCTTGTGCAGCACCCCATTAATCTCTTTGAGCAAATAAAAGACACATACTGACAAAGTCTTGAAGTTCTTCATGGAAGTTGAGCAATTTTTCTGTATCACTATCAGCAGCATGGGAAGAAGGCTGATAGAGCCAGATGGTTGATACAGCTTTTCAGTTTAGTGGAACTCATATTAAGATCGTCTCTCTCTCTTTGTGAGTGCAGCTACTTCAGTAATTGTACTGAAATTTGTCCTGAGGAAGACTTTGATCAGAACTGGAGCCCACATTTTATGCAACAGAGAGAGACAAAACTTACAAAATCAATTGCAGGTAATTGCAAAAGGACTTGACAGATTGTAGGATGAGAGCGTGGCTGTGGTAGTGTCAGTTGAAATCTGGGATGATCTTATTAACAACGGAGAATTGGAAACCCAGAAAGACAAAATTGAAAAATGATTCAGATAAGCAGCAGACCCTTTCTATTACTTAGCCGACACGATTGATCCGGAAGACAAATGCCATAGGTCAAGCCTTGACACCAGAGCTAGCAGGATGGATTGAAATGTGGCTGATGGAACATAATCTTGCATCCTTTCCACTGCTAAAGCAATGAAGATTTCAATCCTGAAAAGAGATGTTGTGTCACTGTTGCTTGCACCAAACTGTGGACAGGAAATCAGTGAAAACAGGAAAATGAAACTCCGAATTTGATCAAATTTAGATGATCCATACTGTAGTCCAGCTAGCACAGCATCAGCTGAGTATGTTTTTAGCACGTTCAAATGGACTGGCTTGCTTTGTAGTCCTTTTGGTACCCCACCCAACACAAATGAATGTGGTGTAATCCTTATAAGAGTGCAGGAGTCTTGCAACTTAGTTAGATAGGTGAATTGAGGAGTGAATAATTACCCCACTGTTGCATTTTTTCTTAAAGAAAGGGAAGTTGTAGATCACTGTCAGGTCTGCATTTTGTGTTTAATTTCAAAATTCCCATTGTTTTATGTGTTTGCTTTGTGCGTGTGTGTGTTGAGGGGGCTTGTTTTGTGTTGGCCTTTTTCATTTCCAAGGAAGAGGCCACCCATGTCAGGATAGTCAGATTATAGAAGTCCTACCTGGATCCCCATTTCTTGTCAGCCCCAAGGTCAGGACTGTGTTACATCTGGATCTGAACTGCAGGGGAGTTTGGGTTTGGCTCTGTATATTGGAACTATATATTTTGGGGGCTGCTTATTTTGTGTCTAATAATAAGATGTAAGTTAAAATGCTGTAATCTCGTCTTCTCTCTGAAAAAAATGATCACCTTATTCTTAATTATCAGAAGTATTGCTGCACGCACTGTAAAGCACGTGTTTTTTTCGTAATTTTTAACACATGTGGGAATTGTGCAAGTTAATTAACATGCAAATGGGACATT